GAAATTAGCCATTCTCTCCCTTACCAAAAGAGGGATGCTCGAGTTAGGGGCCCCTCCGGGCTAATCTTCAAGGTAGAATGTGATCGGCTCTGATCTGCCCTTGACATTATCGAATGTTACTTCTTGTGTCGGAGCTGCATCGACCAACTCATCGAGCTTCCTCTTTGTGGAGTTTATGGAGATGTCGTTGAACCCCCCGCCAGTTATAACCACGGAGGAGGGGAATTTTTCCCACCTACTGTGCATGGACAGAGGTTCTTCTTCGTGTCTGTCGGGGACATAGAAGTCCTTTGGCCTTGTAACGGAGAAGGCTATTTGGATGGGGGCCATTTCATCCGATGGTCAGGTGTCTTCCTTGACCTCTCTTGTTTTGCGAGAATCCCGACGAGGGGCGTCATTGCAACGATATTGCCCGAGCCTACCACCCTTGATGAGGGTTTCAATGGCGTCTTTGAGATGGATGCAGTCTTCAGTCAGATGGCCGTGACTCTGATGGTACTGACAATATTTGCTTTTGTTAGCCCCGGGCTTTGCAGGGGCAGAGCGAGGACGTTTGACGCCGCCGTTCTTGAAGTCGGTATTAGCACACTCTGCCAAGATGCGCTCGCGAGAAGTTGTTAGTGGAGCGTACTCAGTGAATTGGCCTACGGGGCTCCTGTGCTCGTGGGGATCCCGTGGTTTGTCATCCCTCCTCTTCTTGCCTGTTCGTCGAGGAGGGGTTGCGTCCTGGTGTCGCGAGGCGTTGGTTGGTCCACAGTTCCTTGGATCGCGGGCTTTGTTAGCCGCTTCCCTCTCCTCGTAGTCCATGTAGGCCCTAGCCTTTTCAAGGAGAGCATCAAACATCCGGGGTGGTTTGATACCAACAACCTTCCTGAACTCCGTGCCTGGGAGGAGTCCCCTCTCGAGCATATACCGTTTCATGTGATCAGCACAGGAAACCTGGATGGCCTCACGATTGAACCAATCTATGAACTTCATGAAGGTCTCGTTGCTTCTTTAGACGATAGCTTCGAGGGCAGCCTTAGTCTTTGGGTGTCGATGAGACGCTGTAAAGGAGCTGATGAACTGGTTTTTCAAGTTCCTCCAGGAGGTGATCGACCCTAAGGGGAGATTTTTATACCAGTCCATCACAGTTTTCCTCAAGGTTGTAGGGAACAACCGACACTTGATTGGCCCCACGATGTTATGATAATGGAGCATTGCTTCGAACCCGTCAATATGGTCGACTGGGTCAACAATGCCATCATACTCCTTCAGCTGGGGAGGTTTTTCCATGCCCCTGGAAATTGGCGCCTCCATGATTTCCTGCGACAAGGGACCGTGGAGGTCGTCTTTGTTGCTCCTGTAGGGGGAGTGGGAATGGGATCAGTTGTAGTGGCGGTCATAGCGATGTCTTTGTCCTCGGGGAGGATCCATTGGTCGAGGATGTATTTCTATGTTACCCCTGTTTATGTTTTCAAGGGAACATTGTTCTCTGCGCGAGGGGAGAGGGGGGGGGGGGGTAAGGCCGCGTCTCCTGGTAGCCTCGGGCATGGTTCTCTCCAGCGCGGGGCGTCGTCCAGTCCATCGGGGAGAGAGGCTCAACGACTTGTCCTGTCTGTGTCTCCGCGGGGGAGATTGAAGACGGTCTTCATCATTAGGAAGAGGTGGAGTGTCAGGTCTCCTATATCTTATGGGGGCTCGAAGAGAGTCTTCGAGCGCACTTAATCGCTCGCCTTGCGAGAAGATCATGTAGTTCGTCTGGTTTATGGCTGCGAACAGGGCCCTTGTTGTGGCATCAACTTCCGGAGGGACGGGGACCTCCTGGAAAGCGTTCGGCTCGTAGTTCTGGGGCGGATTGGCGCCCTCGTTTGGTCGAGAGTGTGACGAGAAAGAGGCAATCATGCTATCTTGGTAATTCTGCATGAGACCGGCCATGTCGCCGTCATTTCCGTTGTTGTTGTTGCCCACGTTGTCGACGAAGTTGTTGTTGGGGTCAGCGATACGGTCGTCTAAGATATTGTTGGCAGTTGGGTCGGCCATGACAATCAAGAATTCGGAGTTGCTTTTGTCTTAGGTAAATGAAGACGGGAAAGCTAGATTCCCACAGACAGCGTCACTGATCGTACCTGACCAGAGTGATCGTCAAGGCCTTACGTCGAGCTAAGGTTGAAAGCAAGATGGGAGGTACCTGCAAGACACTCTGATGCCAAAGTAAGTACAGGAAGAGTGCAAGCAAGTGTGAGTATGAGTATGAGAATGAATACCTGACCCTCTCAAATGAGAGGGTATTTATAGCCTCGGCGCTGGGCCAAGGTCCCCATTGTTGGGCCACAATGAGGCATAATAATGAAGACTGCCAAGACTTACGTGTGTACGGAGTTCAGCAAGTGAACTTCCCCCTGGTCAACTGCTCTAAGAATAGATGTTAGACCCGTGATTTCCGGAGGGCAGTTAAGATGATAGTGATGCGGACACGTGGGCCATGTTTCCCAACAAATGCGCGGGGAGTTGCCCAACGGTCCCTAGCTTGTCTTGCTTGTCTTTGGGCCTTATACAAGGGTGTTAGATTGGACCTCTCAGTTGCTAGGCAAATGCAGACTCAGTCCAGATCACATATCTTTTATTTCAAACTTATTATAGAAAAATATTTACATCATGTATCAAAGCAACATCACTGACAACAAGTAAAATATCATTAACATATAAGACTAAAACATGTGAATTTTCTCCCAGTGACCTTCATATAAATAAACGGATCTATGACATTCTCTATAAAATCATATGATAAAATGGTTGGTCAGATGTTATGATATCCTTTTCTAATTGTCGTAGTATCACTTTTAAGTAATAATGAACCAACCAAAGATGACATCTTCAACAAAAAAAAAACACACAACACTAACATAGTTTATTGATACAAGTTTTAACAAAATAATTGACAACACATGTGGTTTCATCTTTGACTCTGTTTGAGAACAAATTCATCTTATTTTAAAGGGTTAAATATGTTTTTGATCCTTATAAATATTTTAAATTTTATTTTTAATTCTTATTAAAAAATAATAAATTTTGGTCCCTAAAATTTTTTTGTTCATCCAATTTTGGTCCATGCTATTTTCTAAAATTTTAAAACTGTTTAATTAGCCTTAAATTTTTAAAATTTTGAATAATATTTTCCATACGTGTTTAGAATACTATAAAATGTTTCTTTATTAAATTTTAAATTTTTTTAAAATGAAAAGAATTAAATATTATTTTTTTAAATTTCAAAAGATATTGATAAAAATAATGAAAAATTTGACTTAAAAATCAAATTTTAAATTTCTTTTTTTCTAAAGAACTTTTTATAACATTCTAAACATATCTACAAAATAATCATTTAAAAAAACACATTGATTTAACAACAGAAACTAAAACTAAGTGCATAATAATTTTATAATGATTACAATTTACTATTATTTTAATAAGGATTAAAAATAAAATTTAAAATATTTATAAGAAACAAAAATATATTTAACTTTATTTTAAATAAAAAATATGACATGATAATGTTGATAAAAAAGAAGAACAATTTTGATAAGTCAAAAATTCGCAGAGTCTAAACATTGGTGAATGGGTGTGGAAGGTAAAAAAAACAAATTGATGGTCAAATAATACATTTAAAATCAAATAATATTGAAATGTATAAGAATATATGAAAGATGACGATGTATGTAGAGCACATTTATACCTTCATCATCTAACTTTATTTAGTATTTGTATAAATAATAAGTAATTTTAAAATATGTATATATATGTAAAACGTATTTTTTTACCTTATAAAACACTATATAGTTATTATTATTATTATTATTTTTTTTTTTTCAGTCTTAACTTTCTCATTCTTTCCCAACTAATGGGCATAGGTAATTGAGATTTGGCTGAAGAATAAATTAAGAATAAAGAAACAAAAAGGGACGGTATTCAAATTTGGAGTATTTACTCTTGAAGTACCAAATGAAAAGGGATAAGGGGATGTCGGCGAAAAAAAGATTAAATAATGTTTGTTACCACTCTTTTCTTAAGGACGCCCTTTGTTAAAAATATTAATTGTTTTTAATTCTTTCATCTTATTTAATTCAATTTTTATATTTTAAATTTAATCAACTTTAATTTTTTTATTTAACTTTAAATAATTTTAATCTCTCTCATTGATAATTTAAAATATACATTAATATGGTATATTTTATCGATTTTTTATAAAAAAATATGAAAAAAACATTATAATTATTTAAATTTAAAATAGAAAAATTTAAATTATTTAAATTAAAATAAAAAATTCTGTAAATCAAATAAAATTAGAAGATTAAAATTGAAATTTAACTTAATATTTTTAAATTATTAATATTTAAATTATTTATAATTAACTGTCCCCAAAATAATGTCTCTCATTTATACCTGTATTAATTATCGTATGATCCATATTCTTTGACCGAAACGATCATCTAATCCGAGATTAGCAATTAAAATTTTCCCAATTTTTTAATTTACTGAAACTGGAGTGGTTGAATTAATTTCGGCGTAGACGGAGAAAAAATGAAACGTAAGTTTGTTTTTTCTGGTAATAGTATCAACTTGAATCCTAATCCTAATGCATCTTCACTCTGTATCTCCTATAATTATTATAAATTTTCTCATAAATAATCTTAAGCATAAATAATAATAATAGAACTTTTTAATAATAATAATAATAATAATAATAATAATAATAATAATAATAATAATAATAATAATAATAATAATAATAATAATAATAATAATAATAATAATAATAATAATAATAATAATAATAATAATAATAATAATAATAATAATAATAATAATAATAATAATAATAATAATAATAATAATAATAATAATAATAATAGTAATATTTCAAAACAGAAATATCTCTCTATCTCTTTGTTACCACCATCTTCATTCATCTTTCACGTTGATTCAGAAACCCTAACCAGAGAAGAAGCATTGATTCTGAGAAGATGAAGGGTCTCTTTAAGCCAAAGCCACGCACACCTATTGATATTGTGCGACAAACCACAGATCTTCTTCTATTCTTCGATCGCAGCAACGAAATCCGTGATAGCAAGCGGGAAGAAAAAGTTTGTTCTATTATCTTTAGATCACAATTTCTATTTTCGACTTTTTTTTGTTTTTTGTTTTTGAATTTTTTTTATTATGACGAATGAACTCGCTGCAATTGCTGATTGTTGATGAAATTTTCAATTCCTGAGATATGCGCATTTTTAGTTTCTGATGCTTAAAATCTGTGCTGAATCTCAATTATCTCCTCTGTGGTGTTTATCATAATATTATATATTTAAATTGGTATTGTGCTGTTGTTTCTCTTTAGGACATGCTTTTTTATTTTTTCCATTTTTGTGCTACGTAGCGTCTCTGAAAAATAAAGACGTGTCTGTGTTTGAAACTGATACGACGCATGTGATTACGTTTAATTTATTCATTTTTTTTTTTGAAATTATTACCGTTGTCGACGTCTCAGTGTTGTTGATGTGTTTCCGGTATCCTTGCTTGGTAGATTTTGTATGAATATTTTTAGAACCAATTTGCTACGAACACATGGTAGATGTAGTTAACTGAAGTAGTTGCCAGTTATTTGTTTCAAATAATTACTTCAATTGTTAGTGGTTAATGAATGATGATCATGTTTTACCATTGCAATTTTCATGTATAGATGTTGTTTTGAATTGTTCAGTGCAAATTTTTTTTGGGCTATTTGGTTTTGCAAGTAGGAACTTATACTTGAATGTGAATGTTAAATGTTAGTATATGTAATTGTGCTTTTGTAAGAGAGTAAAATTTGTGTGAGAACCGGCTGACTGCATATGCCAGGAAAGCTGCTCATTCTTATTTGATATTTACTATGTTTATGTGATGCATCTTACAGCAAATGGCTGAGCTGTGTAAAAACATCAGGGAGCTAAAGTCGATCCTTTATGGAAGTAGTGAATCTGAACCAGTCTCGGAAGCTTGTGCGCAGTTGACTCAGGAGTTCTTTAAGGAGAACACACTGCGACTGCTTATCAAATGTATTCCAAAATTGAATTTGGAGGTATAAACGAATTTTGAGAACCGGATGCGTGCAGTTCAATTAATATGTTTTTGATTAGTAGTTAGTGATTTGATGATGATAGGTTTACGTGTCAGCTAGTTAAGATGTTAGCGTGTTGATTCCTCACAGTGATCTTTGGAATCACACGTAAATGTTTTATCTTTATGCTGTATTGCGACTGTTTTGTATTGCTATTTGCAAAATTTTAAAAGTTGAAACTATGAGCTTTTGCAGGCCAGGAAAGATGCCACTCAAGTAGTTGCAAATTTACAAAGGCAACCGGTTCAGTCTAAATTGATCGCATCTGATTACCTGGAGAAAAACATGGATCTTATGGATGTTTTGATAGCTGGGTAAGAAGCTGTTGGATTAAAATTTTGGTTGCTTAATCTTTTTTGTTATAGTAAGCTTTGAAATCAATATGGTGTATTCTTCTGCTTTTCCAAATGAATGGAAATATACATTTGTTTCCCAATCAAGCATTAAAATAATGCCTCTGTGATAGCTGGTGAGAAGCCGTTGGATTAAAACTTTGGTTGCTTAATCTTTTTTGTTTTAGTAAACTTTGAAATCAGTATGGTGTATTCTTCTGCTTTTCCAAATGAATGGAAATATGCATTTATCTTCCAACGAAGAATTCTAATAATGCCTATGTGAATTAGAACACAATAATCTATGTCGTTGATCACTGGATTTTCTGTTTTTTAATAAAGTTGTCACATTCTCACATGTCTGTCTTGTTATGTGTGGTGATTTTTTTTTGAGCTTTTCTCTAGATTATGCTTTGCTTAATATTGTTTCCATCTTGCAGTTACTGACAATTGTCTCTTTACAGCTATGAAAACACGGATATGGCTTTACACTATGGTGCGATGCTCAGGGAGTGTATAAGGCACCAGATTGTTGCAAAGTAAGCAAAAAAGAATAGATTTGTTTTTTTCTCCAGTTATTGCTTTGTATTATTTTTTGTGCGTACTATCGAGCTCTAAGATTTTAATGTTGACGACTAGAAACACATCCCTTCTTTCTATTCATAAACAGGAACTTTTGGTTCCTATAGATCTATGTAATTGCCCCACTTAGAGATTTATTCCAAATAAGAAGTGCTAGAAAAGGAAAAACAACCCGGGTCTTATAAACTTTTTCCCACGTCTTGTGATGCTTTAATGCTTCATGGTTTTGTATCAGATATGTTCTGAACTCACCTCATATGAAGAAGTTCTTTGATTATATTCAACTTCCAAATTTCGACATTGCTGCAGATGCTGCAGCAACTTTTAAGGTGGGCATCATCTGAAAGAATTTATGCTGGATGTTTCTTATTTTGCAGCATGCTCATTTTTGCAACTTCATCAATGTTATAATTAGTTATCCTCTTTCAGGAACTCATGACCCGTCATAAATCTACTGTAGCTGAATTTCTTTCTAAGAATTATGAATGGGTAGGTTCCCTCTTCAACCATACTATAACTTTAAAGCAGCATTTTAATTTTAATCTATATACACTTGTATATTGACATGTCGCCATTTATTTCTTCCGACACCGTTTTGCTAGATAACATTCATTTGGTGGTATGCTTGATGTTAAAAAGTTCTTATGAGTTTGTATTTTGTCGCTAATGTTAGCATAAGTTAAAGTGGTTTATGTTTCCAGACAAGTTTTGGATGATTGTTGCTTCCGCCGTAAATAAATTATAATATGCTAGAGATACTATTTGGATTATTAGGTTAAATTTTTTTCTTTCAACTTATATAGTATACTCTAAAATACTTTCTTTCATTAAAAAAATTGTTTTGTTGCTTTTAAATATAGATTTCTGTTACAAATAACAATATCCTTTTTAGTAAATGCCTATTGAACTGTAGGTGGACACATTTATGTTATTAGGCATATTGTGGCCAAGGTAGTCAAAATCGAGATCCTACATAGGATCGGGGTGGGGTCACAAGTATGGTAGTTAGAATTGCGGTCCTGCCTGTAAGATCGTCCGATTCTACAATTTTGCTAAGCCTGCCATTCTACTTAGGGGAAAGCTCGGATTTGGATATGATCAGTGGGATCACCGTCCAAACACATAAAAATGATGTGTTTTTTCTACCTTTCTATTCCTTTTTTATATTTGTTGTACTCTGCCTCATTTAGTTCTCGCCTATAATTCCAATCTGTGTTGACCATGGCGGAATCATAAAATCCTGCCATTCCAAACACTTTGTGGCGCCGTTATAGCGGATTATGATGGAAAATCTCGCAATCGGCCGATATTTACCATTGCGGCGAGTCCAAAAACTGCTATATATATCTGCATAGCGCCGCAATTGCAAAAATTTGATAACGGTGATTCCAAATAACTCCCCGTTAACTCTTGATTAACTTCGGAAACCCTTCCCAATATATCTACTTAATCCCATTAATTTTTTATATTTTTATATGCATATTTATGAATAAATATGCAATATATATATATATATATATATATATATATATATATATATATATATATATATATATATATATATATATATATATATATATATATATATATATATATATATATATATATATATATATATAATATATATATATATATATATATATATATATATATATATATATATATATATATATATATATATATATATATATATATATATATATATATATATATATAATATATATA